CAGCATGCTCTGAAGTCTTCAGTCAGTAGCAAACATGATCTTTATGCTCTGAAAGGCTTCCACCTTCTGATTTAGTCAGATTATACTGCTGTTAGAGGCACAAGAACAGGCTGTGCAAGTTTTTGTTGTTCTCTTGATAACTGGGTCTAAGCAAAATTTTCAGTTTGCAATCTGAACAATACAAACATCTACCAAACAAGAATGCTTGTAAAAGAAAAGGAATAAAACATGATTTTCTGACAGATATGGGATATGTTGTGGTCTGTGACTTTAGCAGTTTTGAAGATTCACTAAGTTTTGAAGTGTGCAATCCTTTGTTTCTTCTCAGAGGTAAGTCACACTGAGTTCAATGGGTCAGTATTGGATTTAGGCCCTAGGCTTCAATACACTTTCATGACCTTGAAGAAGGCTTAGCAAACACTGAAAGAAGTATACCATATTGAACTCAGAGAGACTTATGTCTGAGTCAGTCTGCATAGGATCAGGCTGTACAAAAAGCAATGCTACTAAGAAGCCTCATGGAAGTCAATACAATTCACTTCTGAGTAAACATGATTGCTGAATGTTAGGCAAAGAATATATCTATGGAAAGGGGAAGACCATCCTGTCATAATGCAACATTGACATGAACTGTGATGATGTGATTCACATAGGGCTGCCCTTGAAGACAGTTCAGAAACCTCAGGTGGTACAGAATGTTGTGTCTCATCATCTGGGTGGAACATGCCATTAGGAACGTAGTAGTCATAAAGGTAAAGGGACCCCTGAACGTTAGGTTCAGGTGTGGACGACTCTGGGGTTGCGGCGCTCATCTTGCTTTACTGGCTGAGGAAGCCGGCGTACAGTTTCCAGGTCATGTGACTAGCATGACTAAGCTGCTTCTGGCAAACCAGAGCAGCATATGGAAATGCCTTTTACCTTCCTGCCGGAGTGGTACCTATTTATCTACTTGCACTTTGACATGTCAGATGGACTGCTTTCCTATTTGTTATATACCAAGCTTGGATCCTAGAACAATAGTCAGGTAGGATCCTAGAATGCAACAACTGATTGGCCTGCCAGTAACAGCCCAATCAGGCTCCAGGAGGGAAACATAATCGACCAGTCAGATGGGACTCATTGTGAAAATAATGTATATAAAGCCTGAGGTTTGGGGGAAAATCCATTCACTGTTTTTCAAGCTGCAAAAAAGAGTGTGAAATCACTATGCGACTCCAAGTATATTTCACTATTGAAACCTGGCTTTTTAGGGTGGCATTTTGTATTAGCTGAAGGTGTTTGGTATTGGGTTTTTCCCCTTGTTGACATTTTAAAGGCTGAGTTTAATTGCAGTATTGCTGTTTTGTAGAATGAATTTCACTATTCACGAATATCATGAATGCTGGTTTTATTTTATTTATCTTTTGTTATTTATATTGGCATGTTATTTTATTTGCCACCTACATGGCAAATAATGGCTTCTAAGCCATTTACAACTATGAAAACTATACATAGTTAAAATACACAATAACAAATCCATTGAATCTTTAAAATGTCCTGAATGTGCAATAAAACAAACACAAATAATAACAATCAAAACAGTTAGAACAATAAAATCAGAGTTCATCCCGGGGGAATGCATGTGTATACTATATACTGCTTCAGGAGGACATTACTTTTCTTTTCTTGAATTAGCTACATAAGGAACCCCCCTCGTCCACCACCACTGACAAATGTTTTACAAGCAGACAAGTTTATAAAATGCCAAAGAAGGGGGAAAGTGTTCTAATAGTACAGCTGATTTCTGAAGAATAAAACACAAAAGCATCCTTATGTCCTTCATAGCCTAAGGCTACCAGGGACATAAACAATAAAATATAACAACATTCTGCAAAAGAAGAATCCCCAAAATTGGTTACAGAGTCTCAGGTCATAAGTGAAGTAGCTGCTTCCCCAGGGCAAACGTAGGACTGATCGCTGTTTGATCTTTGCAAGTGGACCACTGTGTTTTGTTCCAGGGCCTTGTCTTGTCTATTTTAAAGCAATAAACATTCTGAGCACCTTCTACATATATAACTTTTGCACCTAGCAGAGAAGACAGTTTGACAATACAATGCGATTTTGTATTGCATTGTGCTGCATTGTATGGTGCTGTTCTGTGCTGTCAGAAGCTATATGCCTCTGAATGTCAGTCGCTGGGAATCGCAGATGCAGAGAGCACTGTTGCGCTCAGGTCCTGCTTGCGGGGCTCCCACAGAAATCTGATCGACCACTGTTAAAACAGGATGCTGGACTAGGTGAGCTTTGGGGCTGATGCCATGCGCTTCTTATGTTCTTAAATCTCTGAGCATTGAGTTGTTTATTTTGCCAGGAGTATGCTTCTAAGTTGGAAAGTGCATTTAGAGCCAGATGAAAAGGTGCTGCGGCAACACATTAATTGAGAATATAGCTCATGGTCCCATCAAAGTTTAGCACTTTTCAGTCGCATTGGTATGTGCTTCACTTTTGCTGGATCATATCCATTGTTAAATATTTGTTTTGATTTTGCTCTGCTTTAAATTTGCCTACTGAATGTTGTGCTAATGAGAGTTTTGAGTTAGGGGGCAATACTAGGGTTGCATCCAAATAAGATCTACTCAGAGGAGACCTATTAAAATGAACAGCCTAAGTTCCTAATGTTCATTAATTTCAGTGGGTCTACTCTACGTATGACTAACATTGGATACACAATCTACAGAAAGCAGAATAATCTGTGAATTAGAAGAGTAATGTAATAGGCGATCATGTGATGATGGAACTAACATTTCAGAATGTAAACTATGGGTGAAGGCAGATGCCACATGAAAAGGGTGATCTCAGTGCGTCACTCAGCCTGGCTTCCTCCCAGTTCTGAAAGCGAAATGATAGATGTGAGTCAAATGCTGGATCAGCTGTCAGCCCTGCCCATTAATTCCCCTGTACTTTTAAGCAGGCTGCCTGCCTTTTTAAAAAAAGTGTGGCATGAATGTCAATGTGTTTATTGGATCTTTCGTCACCTTATTAATAAATCCACAAAGAACTGCTCTGGGGAGAGGAGTTTACTTGGTGACATCACAGAGGGCTTAGTTGATCAACCTTAAAGCTGCACACAAACAACCTCAATCTTTGAGTAGAATATAGGCATTACTGAGCACAGGGAAGGTTCTTACAATGTGGCACCACTGCCCTAAAAATAGCCTGGAAGTTTCACCCAGAAACTCAGGGCACAGTTTTTGGACCAAGAGATGAATCATTGTGGCCAAGCCACTCATTGGAGCTCTTCCTGCATTTTCTCTCTTAAATGTACTGTATGTGCAGAGGTTCCCATCCCAACCTCCCATCCCAAAGCTGCAGGCCCTCCAGCCACATGCCTAATGTGCCTTTGAAGATGTGATAGCAAATGGTGGAGTTGGAGAACATCCAGATATTGTGATGGGGCCAGTGGGTACTATCCTGCTGCGGTAGCTGTTCTCTCTCTCTCTCTCTTTCTCTCTCTCCTTCTCTCCCCATCCCCACACTATGCACAGGAAGACCAGGCATGTGAAAAGCTCTATTATTGCAATTTTGCTCCCAGCCCTTTCTCACTCCTGGTTAGCTTTCATCATTTCAGCAGCCAGAATTTTCTTTTTTGGGGGGGGAGGAGAGGGTTATTTTATTGTTGTTGTTGTTAAACAATTGGGAGAGAACCCCTTGGTGATTTACTTAAATGACCCAGAGATCTTCCAGATCTGCCAGTTTGTTTTCCACCCAACCTTGCACTAGAGATTTAAAAAAAGTCAGGGTATGATCTTAAATATAAAATACTAGGAAAAAGTGTTGCCTGGGAATTCTATGGCTTTGGTGCAAATTTGCATTGTATTAGGAAAATTTTCTCTGCAGAAAGTGTGTGTACTTTACTAGGCATAATTTTTTAAAAAGTGTTTATTGGGAGAAGTTTGCACTAAATTGCTGATAAATTTTCACAAGGATAAAACAAAAGACAACTCAAATTGCTGCAGAAATGTGGAGAACTCAATTTAAGATTAGAAGAATGAGAAACCGAGAGCACCAGAACTTTGGCAGATCCTTGTATCCCTTACCTGGAGGTGTTGAAGACTGAATCTGGGAACTTTTGCGTTCAAATCAGATGATCTACCACTAAGTTGTGTATCTTTCCCAAATGAATTTATTTAATGTAAAAGTGAGAATGATTTGGCTCTCAGTAGAAAATTCTTAATAGCATTGGGGCCAAAGTGTCAGATCTAGAGACCACTTGGCTGAGAAGAAGGCAATTATGTTTACATGAGGGGACTTAGATTTCTGCTGGTGTCCCTCTGTTCCCTAAGCTGCTACAGCCACACATGTCACATCCCATGCCATCCTTGAAGGCTCACATCACTACTAGAGATGGTTTGGGCAGCGGCGGAGGAAGTCATTCGGGTGCCTGGGGTGGCACGCCCGGGGGGAGCGAGGCGCCCATAGGGGCCAGGCACACCGTGGGGCCTCCAGAGTCTGCCTGCCTCCTCCCACTCAGCCGCCCTGCAGCTGGGGGGGGGGAAGGCAGCGGGTGGACCGTTTGGGCAGTGCAGAGCCTGTGCACGCCCAAGCTACTGTGTCTCTCCCAGGAGAGACACGTGGCTCAGGCGCGTTGCAGTCCCCGTGTTAAGTGCCACTCCGCATTTTGTCACCCCCCTCAGTGGTGACACCTGGCACCCCCCTTCCTCTACCCCTGGGTTTGCGGGTCTGGGAGTGGAACTGAGCTCATGTTTCTCTGGGCTGGCCCAGTAAAAGGGAACTGCTACTTAGGAATGACATTGCAGTAACGAGACATCGAAAACCCCCGACAATGTCCACTGAAGACCATTCATGCCCTCATCCCCAGTCATCCCCCCCCCCCAGTCTCTGGGCAAGTTCTCTACATACACGTTTTCAGGGAATTTCATCCCAACCTATTCTCTCATTTCCTGCAGAAAAGCCGCCCTTTCCAAGTTTGCTAATGCAATGATATCTGTTTTAACTGTCTAGGTAATTTATTCAAGATGCAATGATTTACTTGCTCTGACTTGCTGGCAACTTAAATCTTCTGGGGGGTGGGGTGGGGTGGCGGCAGCAGCGGGGTATGTTGCCAGGTCCAGACTCTTAAGGACAGGTTCACACACAGTCAAAAATCAGCTGCTCTCCTATTGCAATTCAGTCCCAATACACAGGTTTCTGTGGGAAGGAAAAAAACAACCTTTTGGGTACAATGATGGTACACATGCTCACTCTATGGTCATTTCTGCTACCACAGAAGGCTTGTCTACATTTTCAGAAAAGAACATCTTAACAGATGTGGCTTCTACCATCGTGGTGAGAGAAGCTGCACTGGATCAAATTTTCCCTTTGTTGCAACACTTAAAGGTACAGGAGTCCTCTGAGAGCCAGGAAACCTAGACCACATTCACACCACACATTTCAGGCACCATTATATCACTTGAACAGAGTTTATTGCTAACAAATTTATTGTTAAACCCCTCTGGGGATTGTAGTTTTGTGAGAGGAATAGGGGTCCCATAACACCTCTGAGCACCCTTTAGCAAACTACCGTTCCCTAGATTCTTTAGGGGAAGCCATGGCTGTTAAAGTGGTATAATAGTGCTTGAAAGGTAATGATGCAGATGTGACCCTAGATATTAGTGTTGGTACATAGCGCCTTAGAATCCAAGCAAGATGGCAGCCATGTGGATATGAACCTGCTTTGCATTGCATTTTCCACTCCAGTATTGCAGTTTCCCAAAGGGTAAGGTCTTGCTTAGCTCTTTCTATCAATACCCTGTTCAGGTGGGACCATAAATCAGTGTTGGAGCCCATGTCTTGTATGCAGAATGTCGGAGGTTAAAAAGATCTGGAAGGAGGTAATGAGAACTACCCCCCCCCCCCGAGACTCTAGCAAGCCACTGCTGGTCAGAGTAGACAGTACAGAGCTATATGAACAAAGGGCTCCTCCAGGCAGCCTGTTCATTCAGCATTCACCTTGATCCACTTGCACAAAGCTCATACAGTGGTTTGACAATGTTTGATCTTTATTGAGTATTCATTCTGAGTTATTTACATCCATCCTGCTGTATTCCCATCTCACATTCATTTATACCACCTTTCTCAGGGCATTTCCCTGCCAACTTCCTAAGCACAGAAAGCCCATTTTCTTTTATTTAAAGAGTGGATTTGTTGCGCTAGAGCAACAGAGTGCTTTACTCTACTTTGACAGCACACACCTACATTATGTCTGAATCCCTCCTGCAAAAAGGTGACATCGTGGAGGCACCCAAAGAGCATGACCTGCTATAAAGGCACCTTCCCATGCTCCTGAATGGAGACAGTGGCATTTTTTTAAAAATATGAAATACATTTTTATTTGATTTTCCAAAATATAAACATACAACAAAAACAATTCCAAATGTAATTATTGAGATCACTCTGAATCTCCTGACTCCCCCATCCCTTCCATGGCTCCTATTGATTCTATTTTTAACTGCTTATCAATACTTCTCCAAATTTTTCAGCTTCCTAAATTAGCCATTTTGGCTTGGTCCATCAACTTGCCTTAGCCTTAGCCTGGCATTCTTCTCTGGTTGGGGTTGCTTCTTCCTTCCATCTTTGGGCGAGACAGTGGCATTTAAACCTATCACCTGCTGCATGCAAAATGTGGTTCCAGCTGTGATGTATGCCCCTCCCCAAATAAACCTCTCCTGGTGCCAAAGCCTGATTTGGCACATCAGCGTAAGAGTTTATGACTTAAGTGGTGGTGTACAAAATTTGTGCTACTGGCAAGTGGCTTGGCTGGCCTGTTTGCCCAGTGCCCGGTGCCATCCAGTCCTCTTCTGTTCAGCATACCCGTGTGAAACTGGCACACATTTCCTAAGCAAATAAATCAGCTTTGTTTTTCTGGAGATCCAGTGTAAGGGAGGGCGGAGGGAAGAATCACAATGTGCTCACAGTGCTCCCTAATCAGCTGCTGTTGACTGATTATTTTGCTTCCCAAGACAAATGTTGGTTTTGCTGTTGACTTTGCCCCGAGCGCTGTTGGAAAGGAGAATAACTAAACATGGTAGGTTTGGCCACAATCCCGAGGCAATAGTCTCGCTTGAGTCGCTCAACTGGGGGATCCCTTTAGTAGCTGATATTAAATACCAACCTGGGAGACATGTAGCCCCTTGCTGATATTAATATCCAGTTGCATGGACCGTCTTTAGTTGGTATTCATTAAAGCAGCAGGTCATTTCCCCTGGCGAGTTAATGGGCTTTGGAACATTTCTGAACTGCATGATCAAAGCGTATACGGTCTTGGCTCGGAATTTTTGCAACGCTAAGACATGTTTATTAAACTACATTTTGGCACTGCTTCTTTCATAAAGTGCTGAGTCTGTAAAATGGGGGAGGGGAATATTCCATGTCAGGTGCACGAGTAGGTTCAGCTTCATGCCTCCGTGTGAAACCACCAACATGAGCATCAAAATGTGCATGAATAATGGACTGTGGTGTGGTCTCTTTATAGCTACGGGGGAAATTGAAAGTTACGAAAGAAGCGTCACCTAGCCACTTTGACACTCCTTAGGATAGTGATAAAGCCGGATATCAAATCCAAACTTCTTCTTCTTCTGCTTGTCTGCATGATTGTGGTTTGTGTGTTTTGTTTTGAGTCATCAAAGGTCTGTGGTTTTTCTGGTTCTATATCTATATATCTATATTTATATCTATATCTATAACATCTATATCTATACTAATAAACCTCCTAAATTCAAAATCCCACTTTGCTCATTTGAAAACTACCATGTTTCTCTTTTCTGGTGCTTTCTTCCTAATACAGAATCTGTGCGGTTCGCTTAAGGCGAGAGATGGATCTGGGTAACTGCTGGGTGTTAAGAGTTTCAAAAATGGCAGAATCAGCCATTGGCCCAGTTTACACGCCTTAGTATACCATAGCTGAGCAATTGGCAGACTGCCTCTGATACTGAAGGTAATATAGCCATTGTGACCTTTATCCTTCATGGATTTGTCTAATTCCCTTTTAAAGCTGTTCAAGTTGGTAGCCCTCACTACATATTGTGGCGGTGAGTTCCATAGTTGTGTGAATGTGATGTGATGTGTGATGTGTGATGTGTGAAGAAGAGCTTCCTTTAGTCTCTCCTGAATCCCCCACAATTCACATTCATTGGACGACCTTGGGGTTTAGTATTATGAGAGACGGAGGAAAGCCTCTATCCATGTTCCCATGCTGTGCATAATTTTATACATTTCTACAAGGCCCCACCCCATCTATGTGTCCATCTATCTATTATTTCCTGTTCCATTGTTTTCAAAAGTAGTTTGTTGTGGTGCTCAGGCAAACAGACAATGCGGGTAGAAACTTGCTTTTAATTTCTGAGCTCTCTGGGGGGAGAGAACAAACAGGCTCAGAAAAGAATAGTGAGGCGTTTGAGGCTTCCCTTGGCCTTAACAAGTTTGCAGATGTCAAAAACGGTCTTCACAGGTGATTCACACAGGCATTGACTCATCAAACCACTTGGGCACATTAAAAGAGGGGGAAGGCAGGCAAACAAGTTGCAGAGACTTGGTGCGAAACTTCTCCTGTCAAAAGCTCAGCATGTGTTGTTTTTTGGGGGTATTGCTGGAAGTATTAAAAATGAAGGGCAAATTTGCAAATGTGATTCATAGAGCATGAAAACTTCCGACGCAGGCATTGCCTCAGGAGGTGGGATGGGGTGTGTGTATCATAATAACTCAGTAGCAAGACACATGGTTTGAATGCAGAAGATCCAGGGCTCAATTGCTAGCAAATCCAAAATGCTTGGGAAGCAGGACAAGATGCCCACGTACCACCATCCCATGCACAGAAGCCGATCAAACTGGTAGATGAATTTTACTTGGATGCTAGTGACAGCCTCCACCACAACTGGTGGGCAACAGGCTGGTTTGGGAGGCACAGGGCAAGTTCCAGTACAGAATTCTCTCCTCTAGTGCCTTGGAACCTTGGAACCTCACACACAACCTCTGCCACCTGAGGCAGCTGCTCCCCTCTGCCTAATGGCAGGGCCAGCCCAGAGCATATCCAGTTAAAGCAGCAGTAGGCAACATGGTGCCCTTCAAATTTTGTTGGACTACAGTTCTCATCAGTCTGAGCCTACATGGCTAATGGTCAGGGATGATGCAAGTTATGGCACAGCAGTATCTGGAGGAATCCATGTTGGCTACCCCTGAATGAAAAGGATATGGGAGCAGTACTGGAAATGAACTCTGTCTGCACAAGTTCTGGAGAACCACTGCGTAAGAGTCTGAGTTGTGGCAGCCATTGTGGTGCAGCTTCTGTGGGGAGTGAGAGGGTGCTGCTGCCCTTCTTCCTTGCCAGAAAACAGCCAGCCCCTATGTAGCCTGAAAATAGATTGTTTTCATTTATTTGTTACATTTCTTACATTTCTTACCAACCCTTCCTCCAAGTAGTTCCAAGTTTTATTCTCACAACAACCCTGTGAGGTAGGTTAGGCTCAGAGTCGGTGGCGGTCCGGTCCAAGGTAGGTAAACCAAGGGAACTTCATGTCCGAGTGGGGATTTCAGTACAGATCTCTACAGTCCTAGTCTGAAACACTAACTTCTCCCCACAGTGACACTGGCAGCAGATCAAAGTAACTCCCTTGTCATCAATGTGGCCCCACCAGGAATTGTCTTTTTTTTTTTAGTCATTATTACATTTGTAGGCCACTTTTCCTCAAAGGAGTTCTTTTTTTCTTTTTTTTCTTTTCCCTATTGATGGTTATTATTAAAGATTTTCTTGTTTTACAGAAGTATGTGTAATTTCTCTCGTATTTTTTCCATGTAAAATTTTTACAAATCCGTTTCATTTGTTGAGACATTAGGGAGAGAAAAAAAAGGGGTGGAGGGAGGGAAGATGGGTGGGGGTGGGGTCGGGTGGCGATGTTTCTATTATGCTTAATGTATGTAGGGTTTGGTGTCAGCGCTGCTTGTTCTGTTCACTTGTGTTCCTTCGGTGGTGAGAGAGGTTGGGGTTGGCCTAGGATGTGGTTATTCATTTGTGGTTGGCTGTGGTGGTCTTTGTTTTCGTGTGTGAGTGGGGTGGGTGGGTGTTTTGGATCAGGTTAGCCATATTGATTTGTATGCTGTTGGTGGATTATTGTCTTGTTTCCTCAAAGGAGTTCTAAGTGGTGCACATGTCTATCTCTCTCTCTGTTTTTCCTCACAACTCTGTGAGGACCGTGAGGCAATGACACGCAAAACCAGCTGTCTGAGGCAGCTACCTCATTCTGCCTAACTGTAGGACGAGACGTGACAGAAATTCAGGTCAGTGGCCCACCTAGTTCAGCATCCTGTTCTCACAGCGGCCAACCAGATGCCTATGGGGAACCTGCAAGCAGGACTTGCGTCATTACATCTTGTGGGAGCAAATTTCATAGTTTAACTACAGATAAACTAAAAAGGTTTGCCGTTCCAAGCGTGGTTTTCCACACCTGCCCCCAAGCTTGCACAAGCTTCCCTCTGTTTTCAAAGACTCCTTTCTGTCCTATGACTTTCCTAAATCATCCCAGCCTCACCTTACCTGACCCTCCACTAGCACCTGACTCCCTGTTCCTAATGATGACACAACTCATTTGGCAATCAACCTTTCGTTTCACTCTTGTTTTGTTTGTCTACTGTAGATTGTACTGTACTAAATGGGAAGGAATGGGCTTAGTTTCTCAACCACAGGCCTGCCCTCCTTTATTTATAACAAAAGCCCCTTTCCTTTTCGTTTGTTTGTAACGCTTCCAACATCCTTAACAAACTACAGTTCCCAGTATCGTTTAGGGGAAAGTCACATGCTTTAAACATGCAGTGTGTATGCTTTAAATGCAGGGAAGTATCTATCCTCTGTCGCTTTTGCACCAGGTTCTGACTGGTAGATCCTGCAGTTCTTGTAAAAAAACCCCAAACCCTGCCAAGTAGATCTGGCAATCCTAAACTCTGCCCTCCCAACAGCATTTGGAGAAGTACTGTAATGATTTCCTCTAACCCTCTGCTGATAAATAAAAAGTGCTCCATTTTCAGAATAACAAGGGCTACATTTCTGCCAATACAGATATGAGTAATTAAATGAGGTGGGGTTTTTTGTGGTTGTTTTAGGAGGGAAGAGGAAGCAGAACTCTAAAGACTTTGTTAATGCATCCTAGCACACACTGCATGTATGGGCTTGCTGAATCCTTTTCTGTTTTCCATTCCCCACTGCAATGGAAATAGAGCTCCTAAACGGTCAGTCACACCCTTCTCTCCAGAAATAGCAGTTGTGTTTTCTGGGATCGCAATGCAATTCATGAAAGCGCTACACCTGGGAAACAGATCTCTGGATAATGAAGGATGCACCACCCCTAAATCAAAGAAACATATAAATAAGCACTAACAAAGAGCTTATTGTCTCGGCAGACCAGGGGGCACCTCGCTCTATTCCTTTGTTTGAGGGAAAGCAATTAGGCACCAAGGATCTTCTTACACTGCCTTTCCCTTCATTGACAGGCTTCCTGGCTGATTTCTATTAGTACAGCTTGAGGCGTGTTACACCCAGAGAAAATGGTATGGTGTTGGGGTTTCTTCCCTCCAAACCCTGCTGGGCCCTCCACTCAGCAACTGGATTCCTGCAGCAAGGAGCCCGAATGCCTTGGCTGGCTGGCCAGAGCAGCAGAGATGTAGCCAGACTGCAGCAGAGGGCTACAAAACACTGACTCCCCATCGTATGTGACCATGAAAATGATGCTTCTACTATACCAACTTCGACTTGCACCTATATGCTGATATTTCTGTGTATATGACTAGGTAAAAGGTAAAGGTAAAGGACCCCGGACAGTTAAGTCCAGTCAAAGGCGACTATGGGGTTGCAGCGCTCATCTCACTTTCAGGCTAAGGGAGCCAGTGTTTGTCCACAGACAGCTTTCCGGGTCATGTGGCCAGCATGACTAAACCGCTTCTGGTGCACGGAGGACTGTGGTACCTATTTATCTACTTGCACTTTTGGGCATGCTTTCAAACTGCTAGGTTGGCAGGAGCTGGAACAGAGCAATGGGAGCTCAGCCCATTGCGGGGATTCGAACCACTGACCTTCTGATTGGCAAGCCCAAGAGGCTCAATGGTTTAGACCACAACACCACCTGTGTCCCTGTATATGACTAATACTTTGTGGCAGTGAGTTAACAAGCACCAGCCATCCATTGTTGGCTACCAGCAAAAGCACCCTCAGTCACCAGAGTGCCATAGAACAATTTCTTATTTGATGCCACAGAAAACAAGTGCAACACAGCTACTCCTCTGGAATCATAGAATTGTAGAGTTGGAAGGGACCCTTAGGATCATCTAGTCCATCCTCCTATGCAGCTGTCCCATACAGGGATCGAACCTGCAACCCTTGGTGTTATCAGCAGCACGCTCTAAGCAACTGAGCTATCTATGCAATGAAATTGAACTTGATTAGCTTATTTTATTGCCAAGCCAGCATACGCTTTGCATTCTGTGCACAATTCATTGTTTTGTTTATCGTTTTATGACCCCACTTGATTGCATCACCTTTCTGGGCTAAGCAATTATGGGCTTCAAAACAATCCTTGCTGTGGAAGCTCAGGCATGTTGCATGGACCCAAGCCTGTTATTTTGCTAGCAATTTTTAACCTACCTATCTGCGTGTGGCATGAAAGACAGGGGAAATTAGGATCCTTACAAAGCCAGAGATGTTTCAATCTTTGGCTTTAGCTGAAACAAAGATTTAACGCAGCTTCTAAGATAAACGTGTGGAGTCTGTTTACCTTGCTGTTGCATTTCAGTACTTTCACAATATTTATGCAATTTAATCTGTTTAATCTCTTTTTATGGAAATGAAGGCATTTTGCAAGAAGAAGAAGAAATGTTCTCACTCCTCTCAACTCTTCCCCCATCTGGTAGATAACCCAACATGACTAGCTCAAACTTTCAATGCTTTTGGCTTTCTTATGTAACACAGCTTTTACTAGAACTTTTTCTACTTTAATGTTTTTTCCCACTGCTAATTAAAATTTGTAAATCAAAGCCTAATGATACAGCCCATAGCTATGCATACAGTGCGGCAGAGACAGGGAGGAGGAGCAGGAGAGAATAAGGAGTTTGCGTTTGGGATGGGTTGCTGCAAACCCAAATAAAATGCTTTGCAATGTTGGGAAATATCTGCATGGGGGATTTGTTCTGTTGAGATGCACCATCCACAGCCATTTTACACAGAATCACTATTGATGATTGCATGAGTAGATAGTAAAATAGAGAGGACCATTGCGTATTATGAGGAACACTGCAGGCGGTATGCAAAATATTCAAGTGCATTCCATCAGTTTCCATTGGGGGTGAAGCATCTTTTAGTTCACCCACTGACCCATCTGCTGGTTGTTGGGTGTTTTTTTAAGTATGTAGTGGACATCCAGTGATAGCTTTCCCTTCAGCACAATAGCACCAAGCTTGGTTTAAGGGGGGGACTTGGAAGAAAGAAGATACATTGTCCGTTAGGAAACTCTCAGTGCTGCTTGCCAGCAATGGAAGCATGAGCCTGCCTTGGTCCTGGAGTCAACCTGATCAGAATTGTGGGTGGGCAGGAGACTTAAGGAAAGCTGAATCTCTCCATGATTGCAATGAATGGTAGTCAGATGCACTAAAAACACAAGAGACTACCTTATACTGAGTCAGCAGCAAAGTGCTATCCAGATGCTGTTCTCAGCCAGTATGACCAGTGGTTGGGATGATGAGGGTTATAGTCCAAAAACACCTAAAAACCTATGGAGGCCATTCTGGAGAACCACTACCAGTCAGAGGGTTAGGCAATCTGGTTGGCTGCATTCACATCCCAGTTTATTTCATATCCCCATTTCCCTAACTGTTAATGTCTGCATTATATTTTACCTGTCGCACGATGTAAAAGCCACTTCTAGAAAAAAGAAAGCGTGTTTAGCATTCATTTCCATGTTACTTGATTCCAGGGGGGAAAAAATGCAACCTTAAAAACTGTGGGAATAAAGTGATGAAATGTGAGGCAGTATGCCAGCATGCAGTTCTTTCCTGTTGTTTGCATAGGAGAGCAGACATGTGCATGTGTGGAAAGGTTGGGGCAGTAGCCACATTGTTTTCTATGACATCGGTTGTTGTGTCAAACCACATCCACTGGTTTGAATGAAGTTTTGTGCAACATGCTGATATGTCCATCAGAAAGCTACAGTCCCATAAGTCATCAGGTACCGCATTATGGAAAAAAATTAGAAAATGGGACAGAAGCCCTGAAATCATAATCAGGAAAACTAACGCAATATTACACACGTCTGAATGCATCCTTGTTGTCTCCCACTCTGACTGGCATAGGTTCTGCGGGATTGCAGACATCGGACTTCCCCAGCCATAGCTGGAGATGTCGGGGTACAAACCCACAACCTTTGCACGGAGAGCTCTACTGCTCAGCTCCATCCAATTCTATTTTGGTTCACGCCATGTTGGGGAGGAGATCCAGTCAATTTCCTGGAGTACCTTTGTGGTTCCATGCAATTGTTGTCAAAGGGAGAGCGGTGCTCAAGCAAGGTTTAGTTTGAAAGGGAGGAAGGGAGCCATTCCAGTTGAGTAGACCAGATCAAAAGAAACAGTCTGGCCAGTTCCCCTTTCCCTCCCAAGTTGGCAGATTGCTGGCAATTCTTCTAGGGCCTGATTTACCACCCTCAGAGACAAAAGCTGTAGATTGCAGAGCCTTCCTTGGCACAAATACAGGATGAACAGCCATTGACAATCAGCAGGAATGTATGGTTTACACAACAAAGGGACAGTTATGATCTTTCTAAATATTTGCAATAGCTCCATTCCCAGGCGGTGTGTGTGTGTGTGAGAGAGAGAGAGAGAGAGAGAGAAAGAGAGAAAGGGGAAGGGGGCTCAGATTTGCAGAGACCATCAGCGCGAAAGCTTGCAGCAGTAAAACTCTGTACATCAAAGATGAGATTCCTCCCTATATAATGTTATTGCGTGTGCCAAAGGAAAACATCTGGCTCCTCTGATATACAGTTTGCAACAAATGCCTTTTCACGGAGGGCCGCCTCTCCCTTTCTAATAAGAGCGAGCCCATTAGTATCATTAAGTGTGGCGTGCGTAATCCTGGCAATCAAAAGAAAAACAAAGCAGGTGCAAGAGCAGCTCCAGCAAAATGAAAAGAAGAAGGACATCTGAATTTGTTTTGATTCACTGAACAACAATGCCTCATTTTCTATGCATAGTAAAAAAAGAAAAAAGTCGTAATTGTAGTGTTTTAAATGGGAGGCAGGGGTCTTTCCAGAAATCCAGAAATACCAACTTGCTGTTGATTTTGTTGCAAGGGAAGGGGGGGGGGAATGAGAGAGAGAGGTTGCTTTCTTTCCATTCATTCACAGTTGACTTGCTGTGTTTGAACAAACCATTTTTGGGGCCTGATTTTGAATCTAATCCAAGGAAATGTCTGTCCCTCCCCGGTGCTAATTAACTAACACAACTTCAATAGGGATTTTGCACTTAAAAGTAAATAATTGTTTTATGGCTGGCTAAGCTCATCCCTTCTGCTTTGATAGTTCCCAATAAAAATGCAATGGGAAATCATGGCGTTCTTCCACCACTGGGGAGAGATTGGCTTTTATCGCAGGACTCATCTGTCTCACGAAATGCAAATATATTCTGGAGTTGAAAGGCACCAAAGATAACAGTTTGCTTTTGCCAACTCCCAGGATAGTTGCACCGAGATCACTGTGCATAGTGTACCTAGTAGGGATTGGATGCATCTGCAAAGTTTGGTTTTTCCAATCTTAATTTTGCATGAAAATTCATGCTCATTTCTTTGTGTGCATTTTTAGATATGTTTTTGCCCAGTCAATTTTTGCAGGTAATTTTCAATGAACAAAATACATTTCCATATGTTATTTTCACCAGCACACACTTTTCAATGTGCTTTTCACTCATATTCGTACACACTCTTTGGTTGGAGAAAGGCACCACAAAATTTGGAGAAGTACGAATTTCAAGAGAGAGCTGAACAAATTTATCACCCATCCCTAGGGGTGGAATTGTTTCTTCCTTGCTTGCTTTGCTTTTCAGTGGGTTTCTCACACTGCACTTTGAAGCTGCTGAATCAAGGCTTGTTCCCTGTGTTGTTTTGCAATTTCATAACGTCGCCTTCGGCTCATAGTAGCAGTGACATGCCTGACTTGGAATAATGATGACCTTCTTGGCTGTGTCGAGATGAACAAATCTGAAATGGGTGCCAACCAGGTGAAACTGCATGCAAGGTTTCCTCTGATGATATACTCAGGTGCAGAGTGCCAACAGGACCTAAGCTAAAACAGGGCTACTGAAAAACAACCCCTGCATAAGTTGCAGTCCTAGTGTATAGTTTTGGTGTGCAAATAGTGCACCACTCTCAGTCTTGATTGCTCCAAGGCATTCAGTCTGGATAGTAGCCCTGGCTGTCTGATTCCTCCTCCTTATTCTCAATTTTGACCTTGTAGAACTCAGCAGGGAGGGGGCAAAACTAGAATTAGTTGCTTCTGACTGCCATTAGCTCTGGCTCTACCTACTGCTGGCCTCCCAACCTTCTGCCCTTCAATCCCCATGGGCACCAGCCACCACTGGATGAAACCACATTTTAAAGCATAATCTGTGTCACTTGCTGCACTGTATAAGCAACAAATAAAAAAGGAATAATTCAAAACCTTTGTTTTCAGAGAAATGTGAGTTATTCTTTTTTTTATAGAAATATTGTAACTTGATCTTGTTCCCAAATCAGCTTTTTCATTGATCACACTCTTGCATTTGGTCATGTTAAGTTTCAATAAAGATCTTTGAAAATTTTGAAGAAAAAAAAAATGGTCATAATTAAGTGGGTGTATGGTTTACATCCAAGACCTCAAGCTTGCCACTTACAACTTAAAGGCCAGTATCTTTAGGTTTTCATACTGAAACATGTTCTACCATTTGTGGCAGGTTCTTCAAACTAAAACTCGCAATCCATGGCATATGTGTGTCTATGTGAAATTTTTCATAAAGGTTATACAGAGCATGAAAGAACGCTTGAAGAAGTTGCTTGCTAACTGGCTAGCACCCTCCATTGATATCTATGTGCAGGGAGAAATGCTAGCCTGTGAGCTACCAAGTGCTTCAGTGGTTCTGATTCAAATGCTGCTTACCTCCCAATAATTATCAGCAAGGATGATTTTTCTCCTTCGCCCCTCAATCATATAAACGACATCTCTGGCAGCTGCTGAAATGAGCGGCACATTTCAAATAACTAACATCAATCTGTCAAGAGGTGGTTTTTGTGTGAAACTGTGTGCCTTGTCAAGTGTGCTGATAATGGGTGTTTAAAAATCAGTGTTTATTTGATGAGTGCTCCTCATGTATGCATAAAGGTAAAGGGACCCCTGACCATTAGGTCCAGTC